TAACGCCGGTGCATGTATTACGTTACTGCCCAACACTGCCTGTTGATGAGATCTTGTGCCGCTCCTAAAACACCGGCCTCCAACTCCTAAAGAGACACGAGTGTCCCTAAATTTAGCAAATATTAGCTTCAGGCTAGCTTGCTACCACGAATAGGCTAATACCAGCATTTTACCACAACTTTACCAGATATAGCTAAAAAAAAAAACAACTAAACTAACTAACTTGCTGGGACAGCAAGGAAAGATGACAAAAAATGATTGCTTACTTCCGGTTTGGAGGGTCAAGCTGAAATTGAAGCAGCCATTGAAAGACGGGAAGAGAGAAAGATGGCAGCTTGGTCAGCACTAGTGGCCTCTATAATGTATGCAAATACATGCGGGCCGGAATTAATTATTATTATTATGAGGACATTATACTGCTACTGTTCTATCAAAATGTTAAATGAATATCCTCACATGTGGCTCTCATTTTTCTTAGAAACAAAAATCAGGTAAAAAAAAAAAAATCTGGTAATTCTTTGTTTTTACATTCATCGGGTCCCAATCAGTCCAAATATCAAAGAGAAATTAAAAATGCATGCCTTGGAAGAGTTTGGGTCTTGGGAGGTTAATGACCTCTTGATCAGGTTGTTGTTGTATGTAGTGAGCTATCTGTATCACTGTTTGGAGACTATCTATTTTGGTTGGTACTCACCTGTGATTCTCGGCTTCTCAACTCCTTCAATGAAAGAATATGCACTGACTTTCTGAGACACATCTGTCCATCCTCCACTATCACCTGGGCAATTAACTCAGTTTTATCCAAATTTTATCCAAGAGGGCTACCCAGCAGCCACAACCGGTTAGGGGTTGTCCAGGTCTTTGTTTTTATTTCCTGTAGTTTAAATAATTATTGTGTGTCATCTGACCTAACAGATAGACAAGACCGGGTATCATCTGCATCACAATGAAAATGTTTTGTATCCTTTCTAACGTGACACCTAAGCGAAGTAATGCCATCATAGCAAACCTGACAGTCATATTTCTGAGAGATGAACAATGACTGCCGGTTTTTTTTTAGTTGAACAAGTCTCTATTGAGTCTCTAATGAAATCCAGTTGCATTATTCAAATGCTGTTTCCTATGCTAACCCTTGCTACAGGAAAACTGACTATGTGCACAAAAGAGTTAACATGGTCAATGCCACCAACCTGTTTCTGTCTGATTCCTGAATTAGTGCAAATTGTGAAACATGCTTGTGAAACGCTTGAATAAGCGCAAGAGGATGGATACCTTTGTTTTTACTGTTGCATGTTTACTAGAAGCCACTGGCTAAAAGAGTGTATTTTAAACACAAGCTGTCAGAAAAGCGCTGTGAAAGGGCATGCACACATCAGATTTAGGGTTAATAACCTTGGCATACATGAACACAAACCATTTAATAGGTAACTGTGACTGTTTATTATTGATTTTAAAAAAATCAACCAATCAAGAAAAAGCATGAATAACATAAATATAAACATACACTGCACATTATGCATGACATATTATCAATACATTTCTTTCACTAGAGCTCATTAATATCTAAATGAATTCAGAACATTAAAATTGCCCTTTGCAACCAAAGGTTATTTAAGCCCATTACAAGGGTGTCCAACAGAATGGACAATACTGAGCTTAGGAGGAAAGATGGTTGCTATACAAAAGAACCACTGCAAAAGTAAACCATCGAATTAAGGGGGAATGCCACTAAATGGCATATCAGAATGTGGAATATCAGTGTTGTGGTTCCAGATATGTGTAAACTCCCTGTCTCCATTAATACATGAACTAGGCTGGGGTAGAGCCACATTCACATTTTTGCATGTTAATCTGGTAGCTATGTGAGTCTGTTGAACTTTATCATGGAGAAGCCTGTTAAAAACCTTGGCTTGTTCCAAAACATGAACTAAATACTCAAGTAAAAAAAAGGCCTTCATGCTGGGGATCACACTCACACTATAAATACAACTGGACCATTTAAAGACTAACACATAAAGCCAGTGAGCTGTGTTAGTAGATTTGTGAATATCATTTTCTTGTATTTACGGTATAACAAAGTTTTGACTGAACCATTTTATTTCCATTTGAAAAGGGAGAAGCCTCAATCAGAGTGGGCTCTGTGAAAAATAAACAAACAATGAAACACTATCACTTATCAACTCTGATTATTTTGATAGTCTAACAGTGAATGACCATAAAATTGGAATGTGGAAGTGAAAACAGGAAAATAGCACCTAGTTTAATCTAGGCAGCATGCTGTCTGCGAATGTTATGTAAGAAAACATGCAAGCGAAGTTTAAACGTATAAATACGACAGTATTTAATCTAAGGACAGTTCAACTTTTTGCTCTCGGTTGTTTGTTTTTGTACTAAGGAGTCTTGATTTATTGACTTAAAAACTCAGAACAAAGGATAAATTGTTCATATGATAAGACACGATGTCAACAAATCCGCAGGTTTGACAAATGCATGAAAGCAATTACAGAAACGATAAATGATTTACAACGTGTCACATCACCTGAGCTTGTTTTCTTCAAAGAAATTGTTCAGGAAATCTCAAAAATTACTTTGGAAAGTAAATTTTTATTACAGTCTCAAATTATGAGGTGAAATTATTATGGAATTTCAGATATTTGACATATTAAAGAAACAAATATTAACACCTGACTCCTACAGTGGATTCTGTGAATATGTGGAATTGTTAGGTTCAACTAGTCCCCCTGAAGGGAAAGGTCACTGCAGACCATAAAATTTTGATTTTATGGTCTGCATACTCTGTATAAAAGCTGTCTTCAGCTGCTCCCTTATCACAAAGGGATCACCACCAGGTAGCACAAGATGTTTGATTTGAGTTTTACACCAGATATCTTTTAAGATGCAACCCCATGTGTTTGGCTAAAATTGTAACTTTTGAAAAACAGAATGGGCAGCAGATCATCCAGTTTGGGTTTAGGAGACAGGCACTGCACTTTCAAGAATAGGCTTTAAACTTTTCTTTGTGATAAAGAAACCCTGAAACACTGCTTAGTTAGCCTCAGGGCGCCGAGGGACATCCCATGATAAGTTTCTTTATTATGACACTATTGTGTCTTTTCTTGGTTTAGGCTTTAACCTGTCGTTGTTTTGGTTGATTAACATTGAAGTTGTTGTAGCAGTTTGTCAAGCACCATGTGCTTGACAAACTGCAACAAGTTTTTATGCTGTTTTTCCTGTAGCAGATGCCATATTGT